AAATAAATTGGATTTATTTTATAACTGACAACTAACATACGCTTTTTGTTCTTTTCTCCATTTTAATTTTGACTCCTTATTACCGCCAACAACTTTATGTGTATACATATTTACAAGCTGTCAAAATTTTGCGTAGTCCCACGAGCTAGGTAAAAACTATGGCATTCGTATTCATAACGAGAAATCTCAAAATTTTTATTTGGTCTTTCCAAATTTTCTCTTTTTAATCAGTTGGCAAAGGCCCTCAGTGGCAGCGCTCCGAGCGTTGAGATAGTAATTTCATGTCAATTAGTTATTATGGCAAGAAAATTTTACATTTCTGCTGTGCCAATTCGTAACTTTTTACTGCTGGAAATTTTTGACAGTTGCTCTGGTTCAAAAGAAGTTGAGCAATTAAAATCAGAAATTATACAAAAAAGACTTGTCTTTACTAACATTTATTCTTCTAGAACTAAAAGCCATGAATTTATTAGACGCCTTAGTAATAAAATCAAACCATCAGGCCGGGTTGAAAATTTTCATTCACCTCATAGTTAACAAAAATTTACAATCCGTAGTACTTTTCTATCAATTTGCGTTTAATTTAAATCGTTTAGAAAATGCGTCATTTATGTATACCATTTTCAGGTCTATTCTGCGCTGGTAATAAAAAGTTTGTAACCGGTAATTAAAGTTCCTGTCAATTTTTAAACCCTTTTCGCATTCTGTGTACTCTTGCAACCGGTAAATTTTGTTACCATCTCATAAGCTGGTAACAAAGTATTGCCCCGTGAAATATGCAATGCCAGAATTTGCACAATTCTTCGCTGAATATTTTAACTGCATTACCAACGTTCCTAGAATGGCGGTGACAAGAACTGGTAACATTTTTTGGCAATAAAATTCTTCGGTAACAAAAGCTTCGGTAACGCGCAGAATAGACCTGTTTATGTGGAATTATTCAATAAATTTCGTTTTACATTATACTTTTTGAAACTATTTGGAGTTAATTATTTTTTGTTTCTTAAAAGCAGCCCTGCGTGCTTGGAAGGCGTGTATAATTTCATCCCCAGCATATTCATCCCCGAGGAAGGCAGTCGCCAAATTCACCGAAGGTTGTTTACTGGTTATATTGTGTTTAGCACTTTCGAACATATTTTTTCGAAGAGCGTTCATGCTATCGCATTTAGCAAATGTACATCAAGAATGATAGAATACAAGATTGCGCCGTCCTGGGCGTTGACATTTGTGTACCACAAGTAAACAAAGAATAGAGCGAAAAGAAGAACGAGTTGAAACAGCCAAAGCAGTTCACTTTACTGCGAAAAACGTGTTTTAATTTTGCTAAATGCGAAAATATTGCATTTTTCACCTAATCTATTAGAGAACAGTGAACATTGTAGTGCACTCCATTGCTTTGCAATTGAGGCTGCTTCAGCA